AAAAAAAAACTAAAAGAAGTGGTTTCTTTAAGCCGTGACAGACCAAAAAGTTTGGTCCCCGACCTTAACATAAAAAATTATTTTAAAATAATCAAGAAAAATATCAAGTTTTTTTTAGTGCCTATGTCATGCATGATTTACATAATTACATCACTTAGATTTAATTTCGAAGTGAATACTCTTTTAGTCGATGTATTTTGATTTCGATTTATGCAGGTCTGTGTATTTCAAAAACGTCCATTTTAAATTTTTATATTTTGAGCTTTTGATTATTTTAATTATTGTATTTTTAGAAAGTTGGTTTTGATTTTTACACTTTTAAAAAATGATTATTCTGGTCCACTCATTTTCATTTTTACCTTATTTATTTCGTTCAAAATTTTAACATGATGCTTCACTCACTATATATATTTTTAAAGGTAGAGAACCATATAACTTTGTATTAAAGTATTTTATTATACATAAAATTTGTGTTAAAATTTTTAAAATAAAAACTAAAATGATATTTTTTAAAAAAGAAAATACAGGAACCAATTTGGAGCATGCCTAAGTTGGCTGTGCTTTTTGTGACTGGTCTTGTCGCATGATGTTCTGTTGTTCAATATTATTCCATAATGTTCCATTGGCCTAATTATACAAAAATTAATTTATTGAATATGTCACATCACACTCTTAAATGTAGCCCACCCATTCTTACCTTATTAATATTTATTATTGTTTTTTTCTAAAGTTCCATCCATTTCTATCCTGACCCCAATTTGATTTTTATAATGGATTTTGGACTTTGCTTCCTCTTCCAATTTCTATACAATTTTATAAAATTGCCTTAGCTCTTATCCACTTGCCCAAGACCATATATATGAGTCCACAAATCACATATATGTATATATATAAATATTATTTGACTTAATATATAAGTTTGACCCAATGAGATTTGGTATATATATCAATATTATTATTTTTTTAGTGTTAATCTTTTTGCATATTGAAGGACCCCCATATCATCTATTTTGTTTTTTAAAAATAAAAGTACAATTGGAGTTCTTTCTGCTTAATTATTATTGAGGGCCTTGAGATCACAATATAATATGTGTTTTTGCTTCATCAAAATTAAATAATCGTTGTGAGACTCGGTCATATGAATTTATTAAGTGTCAAATAAAATTTTGATGTCTTTGCAATTGTTAAAATATTAAATATTATAAAGGCACGAAAATAAACCTCGAATCGTTTGTCAAATTAGATGTGTGTAAGTTTTGTCAAACAATAACTATTATTAATTTTTTTTTAAAAAAGTTTAAGTTTCATTTGAATACTTGAATTTTCAAAATTTTTATCATTTTGATCCATCGAGAGCTATATATTTTATTTTAGTATCTGAACTTTAGAAAAAAGTAAATATAACTAGTGTTATATATTGGCGTAGACATGTATTAGATCTACATAGGGTTTATTGAACTGAATATTAAATTAAAAATATGTTAGGTGACAAAACATAGCAAAAATTTATTTTTAAAAAGTTCTTTGAAATTAAAATATATATTTTAAAAGTCGTATGGAAAGCTGAAAACTCAAAGACTATGGGGATATTCCAAGAGAAAAAAGCAAACTTCTTTGTTATTCCTTTGTATGAATGTTTCTTACAAATTGTAATAAAACCCTCTTTGAGTTTCCACACTCATCCATTTGAGCAGTGAAAAAGAGGATAAAAGAAAAAGAAGAAACAAATGCAAATTATGCATGCAGATACAAAAGCCCACAACACCCACGACGTGCAACTACACACAGCCTCCAAGTTCCCTAAATTATTGGGAATTAGAAGCCATTTTACAGTGGAAACTTATTACAAAAAACTGAAGGAAGGATTAATCCATCAAATAAACCAACCCCAAAAACCCACAACCAACAATTGAGAGATTGATTAGTAAATTTCTTCGTTAACTTGTCAAAATCCGTGTTCGATCGAGTTGAAATTTTATTCAACGTGATCGTCACAATATGACTGTCGTCCCCTCTAAGTTGTGGCTCGGAGCATTGGCGATTGAGGTAGCGGCGAGTGCGGCGACATTATGTCTTCAAGCCTTCGAGATGATAGCCTGAGCTCAAGGCTGCTTTGTCGCCAACAGAATTTGTGTTTCTTAATCTTAGTTGCCTCCTTGTTTTGGAGCACAAAGGTTCTGATTCTGGTTATAGAGATGTCCATTGTTTTGTCGTCCATATTGGCGAAGCAAACTCTGAACCACCCGGGCTCGGAGCAGTGGAACGAAGACCCGGGCGATACGTTCAGCTTGACCTCGTTGATTATCACTCTCCATAGCGCCATTTCTGCTTCCAGTGTCTTCTCTTTCAAGAGATGCCTCAAATCCATCCACAAAAACAGTCCCCCACTTCCTTGGAGATACCCAATACCAACCTGCATGCATATTACATAAACTTTCGTTAAAACTCTAAGTTCAAACATTTTTCAATTACATATTTAACGATATTTACTATAATTCATCAGCTAACCTGAGCAAGTCCTTTAGTGAAACTTCGGTGGCGTGCTGCGAGCTTCTCAGCACTCCCAACAAGGAAGCTCTCGACAAACTCATCGTCGGACAGCATCGACGCAATCATGTGCTGCGTCTGCGACGACACGAGCCCGAAGCTCGACATCTTCCGTGCACAGCTGACAACGGCATCGTTATACGAGTAAATGATACCGACTCGAAACCCGGGGAACCCCATATCCTTGGAGAGGCTGTAGACGACGTGGATCAAGTTTCTGTCGCAGCTGGGGTCGTTTTCGATCACTTCGGAAATGCTGACGAATCCCGGCTCGGCGAAGACAGTGGCGGCGTAGATTTCGTCGCACACCAAGTGGATGTTTTTGTCGTTGATGAATGCAACGGCGGTTTCGAGCGTTTCCCTGTCGTAAACTGTGCCAAGTGGATTTGAAGGATTGGTTATGAGTAAGCCTTTGATTTTGGTGTCGGATTTTTGAGCTTCCTCGTACGCTGTTTCCAAGGCTTCTCTTGTCAGCCTGAAGTTGTTTGAGCTCTCGCAGATTACAGGAACTATTTCTACTCCTGTTCTCCATCTCAAATCTCTGTCGAATCTGCATCCATTTTTTGCATCAAATTAAAACTCCAATATTGCAGAGTAAACCAAATCAAACCCCAATACTAATTTTTAAATATGCTGTGTTTTTATTGGTCTATTTCTATTGAACAGAGCCATTAAAAATACCCACATTAGAAAGCAAAAGTTAGTGTGCAATTTTTATAAAATAGAGAAACTTTTAAAGTTTTAATTTTTTGAATGGAAGAGAAATTATGTTGAGTGGGTGATTGTCTTTTTTCTTCCCACTTTTGCTTATCTTGTTTGAGTGTATTTGGAAAGAATGAGAGAAAGTGGAGTGGTCAAATTTGAGTCAGAATCAAATACTGTAACATACTAATTAATAATTAATATGTCAAATTAAACAAGAATTAGGAAAAGAAAAGAAATAAAAATAAAATACCCTGGATAATAAGGAACAGGCACTAGAAATGCTTCGCCAGGATCAGCGAGACAAAACGCCACCGTTTCGTGAGCTCCTGTCGCTCCACCACTCATCACAACTCGGTCCGGGTCGAATTTGACTCGGTCGCCTCTCACTTTTCCCATGAAATTCGCCACAGCCTGCCACATTTCCCCCAAGAATTAAATTTACACACCACAAATAAAATCATCAATAATAATCCAAATTAATCAAGGGTTTAATTAATTACGTTTCTGAACTCCGGCAATCCGTGGTAATCCTGGAAGATGGCCACATCCTTGAACTCATCAATTCCTTCAGCAGTACAAATGGAAGCCTGTGGGTTGTTTCTCATCCATTTCTCCACGAACCCAAAAGAAAGCTGCAATTTTGAACCAAATCCACCAAGAAAAATGCAAAAAAACATCAGAAATTGAAGTTGAAAACTTGAGAAAGGAGAAGAAAAGAATGGTGTGGTTTTGGGTATGTACTTGATTTTCAGCGAGACCCATTTGAATGACTCCACGAGGGTTGAGAGTGGGGTGAAAAGGGTCGGAATCGTAGGCTTTCCAGCCATCAAAATATGGAGAATCTTCCCCATGGCCGTTGCCTGTGGCTAACTTTGAGAGAAGTTTCTTGGCATTATTGCTCGATTGCAGCACCATTTCCAGTAACAAAAGTAATTTAAATGGCAGGAGAGAGAGAGAGAGAGAGAGAGAGAGAGAGAGAGAGAGAGAGAGAGAGAGGGAATTTGGTTTGGGTTTTAATGGTGAGTGTTGTTGAGGAATTTATGAAGGAAGAGGAGAGGGCGTGTGGGTATTTATAGATATGGAAATTCAGAGTCGGGTCAGCGGCGCAAATTATAGATTTCTATTTCTTCCCCTGGAAACTCAGAAGAAACTTCTCTTAAATTCGGGACATCACCAAAGTCCGCCGGTGAAAATCGCCGGCTCTCTCTCTCTTCTTTTTATTTTTATTTTTTACGAGAGAAGAATACTTTTAAGACCCGAATACATATTATTCTTTTCATTGTCAATTAATTTTTGCATCGAACATATTAATGTTGATAAAGTATTAGAACTTAAAACGTTCAAAGAAATATCCGATTAAGATCGATGAATCAAAAGAACTATGATTATGATTTTGAGGGATCAGACTACTCCTCTTCATGAGTGGTCTATTTTTCAATGGTGGTCAAAATAGAACTAAGTGTTTTTCTCTTCATAAAAACTATTTAATCGTTTTATATAGAGTATTAAATTTTCATCAACATGTCAACATTTTTATGGTAAAAAAATCGATGAAGTATTAGAAAAATATCAACAAAGTATCATTAATATCCACATAACATTATTAACAACTTTAAACTTGGACAAAAAATGTTTATTTGTTAAGTTAAATATGTTTATAATTCTCGACACTTTATTGATATTAACATTGAAATTTAGACCTCAACATCTTCATTAACAACTTTTGAAATCTTAATTTTATCTGAGATATCTCTTTAGCTAAACATTATTTCATTGTTACATAATTTTTTTAAAGTGTCATGTAATATATAGTAATGAATTCTCGTAGTACGAAGAATGGTGGCATTTGATGGATTATGAAATTAAATTGAAACTAAACTCAAACTAAACCAGTGATTTAGGATATCTAGTTTAACTTTTAATCACTCTTCTACCGTTTTCTTTTCGAAGTTATTTTTCATTTTGTTTCCTATCACCAAAGTGAGGATTTTGAAAAGAAATAATACTGCATAATGTTTTCACAAATTTAACAGCAAGGTTTTCTAACGATTATATTTAAATTCTAGTAAAAGTTTGAAGAGTTAAAATCGAGAAAATTAAAGTTGAAGAATCCAAATCTTATTTGAAGTCAACTTTAATTTCTGGTTAAAATCATATTTTTTTGAATTAAAGTCTGACCAATTTACCATTTTTATTCGTGCCTTTTGAGTCGAGTATATACATGAAATATACCTAAAAAAAAAGAAAAAAACTAATTCTGTTATTGTACACTTTTTCCTCATTTTGTGCATTTTTCTCAATCAATTTAAATTCAATGTCCTTGTGAGAAATTGAGATGGTGACGTAAAAAATGTGGGAACTAGTGTTTGAAAAGACAAAGCAAGAATTATTGTGTTTTTTTAAAACTATTTTGCCAACTTCTCCTTACTTGCAGTTATCCCATCAATTATTATAGATTCTAACATCCAAATCTCTGCCCATTTCAAAGAACTTGCACTTTTTTTTAGAACAAGAGTGGAATAAAAATTTGATTGTTCCCCTTAATAACCTAGTTGATGACAATTAAAATGGTTACACCAAATTTAATCTACCCCTAAAGTTTGTTAAATGCAATGTTTTGTTCTTAATCAAATACAATTTTTCAATTTTTAATCTTTGCTATTAGAAAAACTTTTATACAAAAAAGGTGATTAGGTCACGTTTTAGTTTGTGACATCCGATTTGTTTAGAGTAATGTGTATGTATGATCATGCTACCACTTGGCAGGATAGCGTTAATTCTATATCTCGAACTTTGATGATGTATGCTTTAGATTTATTTTTATAATTGGATCGTTAATTTTCTAGCTTTTTATGTGTATACTCTCTTCTTTCTATCGTACCATGTTTGTTTTTGTTTGTTCTATTGTTATCATTTTTTTTACTTGTTAGGTCTCAGTGTTTGTGTCGTGCCTTAATCGTAATATATCTTACTTTTGCAAAAGAAAAGACGACCTGTATTGGATGACTTTCAAAAAATGCATTAATTAAAAACATTTGAGAAGTCTTTTTTAGTACTCTTAGAATTTTCAATTATTTAATCAACACGCTATATATGAAAGTATTGCAAAAACATTTTTTAATGAACTAAAAAATGAATCTAGGTATAAATAAGTAGATAAGGCGCTTGTAACTATTCTTCTTACCATCCCAAACTCAACGAAGGAAATAAAATGGACTATTCTTCTATCTTACCTTAAAAGTCTCTTTTTTAACCATTATGGTGGGTCTCATTAGTCCAAAGAGACTCAAGTTGAGCTATGTTCATGTTGGTACATTATTAAGAGTCGTCTATAGTTCACGTGTTAGATTTTAGGAAAAAAAAAACAAACGTCGGAACCGACATTTCGAGAATCGGATAGCGTAACTAGAGTGATTGGGATCCAAAGAGGCAAAACAGTGTGGAAGAATCTGATTGCGTGACCCAAAATAATTACGAGGAGGTGGAGCCAAGAGCAACGCGTGAGCGTCGTATAATAAAAGAGTTTTAGGTGGGGAGGGTGATAGTGAAGAAGTGCAGGTGCCCTACAAGACAAGGAGTGGAGGGCCATGGTGTCCCACAAAGTGACAACTCCTACGGATTATTCAATAGTGGCACTGCGAATATCCAGCTTTATCCCCCCGACACTGCACAGCTGGCAGATCTGACTTCAGACTCAAAACATCATTCACAAAAAGCAAAAATGAAAAAAAAGGAAAAGAAAGAAAGTTCATTTATTATAGAATCTCTTAGCTTGTTGGTGTATCCCTTTTGCCACGAGGTTAGGTTTTCCCTTTCTTTCTCTTTTCTTAATGAGAAGCTTTGGTCCTCTCGAATGAGTTCGACTATAGAAGYTTTCAACGTACACCCGGGGACAAATCTTTCACTCACTGAGAAGTGAAAACCTGTGACTAGATCGTCCTGAAGACGGATGCGACGGGAAGAAGTGGCATTTGGAAGTGTTGCTGACTTAACATTTAGGTTTCGGCATAACAAAGCTTGCACTGTCTTTTCGCACTTAGGCGCATAGCGCGCCATTGGTAATGATTCGACTACGGTGCCACAAATTCGCAAACTGATCCTAAGTAATCGTTGTTGTTCATTGGACTACTCAAAACTAAGAGGGGATGCCGCCTACTACTAAAATCCCGGTTTTTGCAACAGTTGCGTTCTTCTATGCAAGAAGAAGACTTAGAAAGAACAAAGAAGTTTGGATCGGAAAAAGTATGCTTAGGCAGTTCCTTCGCTGAGCACAACAGAATGAAGAGGAATTTGTATCATTTTAAATCCCTATTCTTATCGAATAGAAGGAACGAGAAAAACCGAAATCTTCCTACTCGAACAAGAAGTGTTTTGATTGGAAATATATGTAGTTAGATAAACAATGTTTGGATTGTTCTCTTTTTTCTTTTTTAATAATGTTTTTGTCGTGGATTAGAAATAGTCTTGTCACGTGGAAGATAGATGAAAGTCGGAAAAGACTAGGTCTCTCTCTTGAAGACCAGCTAAGAGGGAGTGTCGACTTTCGGTACTTAGCTATAAAGTCACACTTGAAAACTTTCATTCGGTTGAAGGTTTTACCCATCCTTGAACTTATATATGCACCAACATAACGACTTTCAGGACGACATGGATAACCATTGCTTTGATAGCTTGTTGGATCCTCAACTTATAAATAAAGCGCTTCACTCCAGTATCAGGTATTTCATTTTAATTCGGTCTATTTAAACTGACTTTTTGTTTATCTCATGTAGGTTTTTCCTAGCCAAGTGACACTCAAGCTCGTTTTAATCGTCTTTGTTGACCAGTTCTAACCTTGACCGAATTTGTTTCACGAACCGTTTTAATTAAGAATTGTTTGACGTGACAACTAAGACCATGCTAAATAGGATGTCTAAGAGCTAATTACAAATGAAATTAATTATAATTAAGGTTCGATCGATAGTCATTTTGTTATTGATTTTCTGTTTTTTGAAACTAAGCTTACAAAACCTACTACTTCCCGTCTATGTATTCCTTTATCTTGTATCAACTTCTTAAAAACATTTCAAAATCTAAGTCGAATTTTGACAACTAAAAGTGAAATATAGTTTCCAACAACTTGTTTAGGTTTTTAAAATTTGGTTAAAAATTCAAATTGTGTTACGAGGAAAGGTAAGAAATAGTGAGAAAAATAAGCATACTTTCTAAAAATAAATAGAAAACTAAAAACAAATTGAAATGGTGCCTAAGATTTTTAGAGCTTATTTCCGTCTCTTGTTTCTCGTTTTCAATTTTATTTAGACGTACCCATTTAACAACTATTTATGTTTCTTGTTTTTCAATTTTTTAGAAACATTTTCAAAATTTTATAGAAATTTTGTGAACAACCCAACATGTTTCTTGCTCTCATTTTCAATTTGTTCTAAAACATAAATAAAAATATCGTTGTACCATTTTTGAGTCCATGGAAATTGGAGGTCATCAATTCTGCTTTTATTTATTAAAAAAGAACAATAAAATATGAATATTACCAAACGAATTCTTAATGACCACAAACTTTAGTTCACCATATTGTATTACGTAATCTTTAATTAATATGGTTAAAGTAACTCACTCGTGAGAAAACTCCTTCCTACGTATGGCACTAATATAGTTTTAACGTCTAATTAGATCGAGTAATCATTCGATAACCAAGAACATAAGTTCATTACTTTTTATTTATCTATAATTGGAACATAGGATCCATTTATTCATTCGACCCGACTTGACCTCTAAATGAAAATTCAGGAATGTAATTGATACTTATTAAAATTTGGAGATTAAATTGATATCAGAGCTACATAAATAAATAAATATATATAAACTTGGCTGGGATACAGCTTTTGGAACTGTTTTAAATAATTTGTAAAATCATGCGGTGATCAATTATAAAATAATTGATTAATGTCTTCTTGTCGCCTCGAACTCACGTTTTTAAATAGTTTTATGTCTCTAACTTTTGTATTTTATGCAAAAAGTTTGTTCATAGTGATATCTTTTAAAATACAAATATCGTCATTGGAATTAAAAAAA